GAACGTGCGTCCCCACTGTTTGCTTTCTTGGTACAAGTCGAGATACGTAGACTGTCATGGCGGCTGATCGCCGATTCCAGCAAAGAAAAGAAAGCAAACAGTGGGGACGCACGTTCTAACCTAACCTAACCTAACCTAATAAATTATCATAAATATTACCATTTATATTATTAGAATAGGTTAGGTTAGAACGTGCGTCCCCACTGTTTGCTTTTGTTTGCTGGAATCAGCGCCGGCGCTGCCGCGGCGCAGCAGCCGCCGCCGTTCGCTCGCGTCGTCACGTGACACGTCGTCTCCAAAGCGGTCCGGTTTCGAGGCTAAAATAGGAAGAGCCGCCATGATGGTCTACGACCCTGGACATTAACCAATTTAAGGTAGCAATAACATAATTAAATGCCTAAATAACAAATTAAAGCGCGGAAACAATAAATAAAATATGCAAATACTGTATAATGAAATGAAAATTGTATTTACCGGTCTCACGCCGTCGATTTTTGCATGTTAAACACGGGCGCCAGATTCATCACACATCTGTCATTTCCGTGCTTCGCGATAAGTTCCTTTTTTACTCCAATCGTCCATACTACAACGATTCTCTTAGACTTCACTGCTTCCACACTCTTCTTGTATGTCTAGATTAATAGGTTGGGGTTACTTATATAACTAAAAATATCAAAAATAAACAGAAAAATGTACCGAAAACTCGGAAACGTAACGCAAAACACTCTATCGCAGCCAGAACGAGAGACGATTCGGGCGCACAACAGATGGCGTTTACACTTCAAACACATTTTTTACTGCGCGTGCAGTCAAACGTAGAAGCATAGTTCGAACTCCGAATCCAATTTCTTTCGAATTTAGCGTTCAAAGTTGTTGTTCCAAGGACTCGTAATTTTTTAAATTATCATTCTTTTTGAAAAATTCCAACTATTGAGATAACGAAAGAGTAATAAAACAAAGCTGGCAACGTTGTTGCCGACATTTCCGGCAAACATTATTTGTTTCATCCCTAATAATTACTACCGTTGCCTTCAAGTCTTCAGATTTACTGGTAAAATGAAGGTCATTCGACTATTTTTAAAATATTATTTCCCTTTTCATCAGCATGTAAAGGATGTTTAGGTCTAATCTCGATAAAAATTGCGATTGATAACACAGAAAAATATTTATCTCAAAAGAATTTCACAAAAACATATTTTTTATATATTTTTTTTTTACCCCGGAACTAGAGTCGGAGTTGGGAAATATCAATTTCTGAAAACTGTTCTTTCGGTTATCGCGCTAGTTTTATATCCCAGGGTTTTGAACCAACTTTGATCAAAAACCCTGGGAGGGTCGGATGCAAGCTTTCTCGACTTGAAAAGTTCTATATATTTCTGTGTGTTTCGCGAATATTGTTTAAATTTCTCTGGGAAACTGCCGTGTCGTCCACCCATCCTCAAGGCGTGTTAAAGGCTATTAGCCCGACCGAGCTCGTTCTGGCGCAGCGTTGTCTGGTCACGAGTCTGGTCAAATGGCAATTTCACGTGCCATATGATATAGTTAGTCACCGAGTTCCCCTCTTAGCATCGGCCATGTTTCACTACCGGCGATTTAATCACCGTTATCGAACAGTCGCCGGTAACGCCAGTGACGTAATATTTAGATATTCGGTGATTTTCGTAACTACGGCAGGGAACCGACCGTAAAAACATTACCCGTAACTAAGTTACAAAAATTGACATAATTGCACAAAACAGGTCGTCGAGAGCCGCTATATGGACAGGCGTGGAGCGAACCGATTTAGCTTTTTGTTTTTCGAACAATGAAATACTAAGGAAATCCGCGGTTTGCCGAAGACACTTCCCTCGGAATACAGTTTTCCCGGTGGAAAACTCGGCCCAAAAATTAATTAACGGCCCCGTAAATGACGGCCTTTTACCCAAAACTCCCGGTCTTCTCCTTCCGAGATTCCCGCCAATTTTCGTAAGTCGGTCAAAAGTTTCCACCACCTTTTCCGAAACGGTAAGAACTTTCTGGAAAAAACCCGGCGGAAAAATTACCGTGATTCGGAAACCGTCGTTCACACCGGAAACTAAATTACGGAGTTTGGCCGAAAACTCCGAATTGCGGCTGTGTTATCTTAAGGGTTTCTTTTCGGAAGACAGAGAAAGGAAAAGGTGGAATCTGAATTTTGCCGGTAGGAAACGTCTTTCGTCCCAAACTAAAGGGAGCGCTCGACTGCGATAAGCCGAAAAGAGAAGGGAGCCAGGCTTTACTTAAATTGTCCAACGTCACCTTTACAGGAATGAAGCTGTGCAAAGCTCTGGGATTCACCTCGGCCTTTAAGAAGTTCGGTTCGAAAATATTCGATGCGCCTTTTCCCGGATGCGAAAAGTACCAGAGGTGGAGCGACCAGTACCTAGCCTGCATGGCTCGAGTTTACACCGTCTCCATCTACCATCCAGCCGGAACCTGCAAGATGGGAAATCTCTCCGATCCCACCGCCGTGCTGGACCCCCAACTCAGGTGAGGTCGAGTCTCCGTCAAAGCCGGTCGCTATTTATAAACGTCCGACCACTACATGCCGGAAAAAGGTTAATTCTTTACGTATTGATCCATTTCTTTGACTTACTTTCTTCGTTACTAAAAATATAGGAAAATTTTTTAAAAATGTTTTCTGGCGTCACAATTAGTCTGGTAGTCGCACCAAACGAGCCAAACGAGCTTGGTGTGCAAGCTGTGGTTGTCTTTGGTGGAGGGTGGTGATAATGGTTTGTATTACGGTGGGGAATTTTTCCGATGTGCGTAGAAGAGCGTTAGTATAGATTTCGAGTCTGTACATATTATGGCATTTTGTCAATGACGTCCGATTGCATATCTGTCCGCGGCAAAGATCTTCTTTCTTTTCTTCGATGGTGTTTATATGGAGATTTTAGCTCAATGTAGGCTCTTTCTCCGAGTAGACTTGTGTATATGTATGATCGCTAGGCGACCGATTANTACAGATATGAATATTACGCGTACTTCTATAATTGGAAAATTTAAACTGAATACAAAAAGACTGGTTATCTGTGAGTTGTTTAATTTTGAAGATAAATTAAGTTTATAAAAATACTAGTAATTTAAGAAATTTAAATATATTATCATCTGTATCTAAATACAAGACTTCATAATGGCCATCCTTGCTATCACGTTGCTTACCATTATATATTATATTCCAAAAAAAATGTTCTCCGTCTGTCTGGAAAATTTTAGCTTTGTAATTACAGACAAATATCTATAATTAATCCATTGTATCGCAATTTAACGTTCTTGGCTCCTTTACCATAGAGCTTTAATTTTTTGTAAAGGCTCTGGTATTCGTCGAACAATCGACGTTAATGAATATATTTCAACCTTTTAAATGACTAGTATTTTTATAAACTTAATTTATCTTCAAAATTAAACAACTCGCAGATAACCAGTCTTTTTGTATTCGGTTTAAATTTTCCAATTTTAGAAGCAAGCTTAATATTTATTCTGTGAGCCAACTTCTATCGCCAGAGTGAGGAGAGCTTTTCCCCCGTATCTAATGCGTTTGTTTTTATGTAGGAGAATTTAATTGGTTGTTTTTTGCATACGTTTTGGGCTAATATTTGCAATGGACTGCCTGTAACTAAAAGCCATACGAAGAACAATTTTCTATTGCGGTCTAAATTACAACGGCCAATGTGGAAAGATTTTTCCGATTTTTCTTTACTTCCGTTCGGCATTTTGGACGACTTAAGCTTAGTTCGTTGTAAAATGCGGTTTTTAATTTAAACTTGTTAGAAAAATCCAAGACCAAAAATAGTAAACGCTTCGTAGATCGCTGGAAAGAATTGCCAGCTTATCGGTAAAAGTTCGATTTCCTTTCTTCCTCGGTTACATACTGTATTGTAAAATCGATCGTCGTTTCTTTCGAGCCCACCGGTGGCCGAAAGGTTAAAGTGTTTGTTTGCGTACCGCATCGCGATGTCTGGACTGTCTTCCGGGATGCAGGATGCCTCCCGGAAGGAATTACTATGGGAAACTGGCTCCTGTTTAATTATTACGCATTATCATGGTGAAGAAACCCCGAAAAATGCCTCGTGGATGGCTCGTTGGCCGGCCAACTACAGGTCTTCGACGGTTTTCGCCACTCGGATGTTGGTGGGCCGAGGAATGGTTTAAATAGCCGATCGCCTTATTCTATCGATCGGATCAACTCGTTCTTTCCGACGACCGTTCTCGCGGATCTAAGTAAAGAGGTACCAACAGTACCCGATACTCTGTATCGGGGTATACAGGGGTGGCCGACCTGTGGCAAGTAAGGAGAAATCGCCTGGCACGTGACGTATTGTACTATTTCGATTTATTGTGTGATTTTCAATCATCCTTTCGGCTTATTACCCGAACGCCGTTTTTTTTTTTTTCAATCGGCTTTTTTACGTTTATTCTAATTAAAGCATATTTGTTTAATTTCTTTAAATATCGTTATTCGAAGTCTAAAATTTTGGCACGCGTAAACATCTTTAAAGCTAAGTAGGCTTACTATATGGCACGCGGGCTCAAAAAGTTTGGCCATCCTGCCGTAGGCTATATAGCTTATACGGTGGACGAAGAAAAAATCGGGTACGTTCGCTTTCTAAGCCAGTTTGCAAATTTTCAGGATTTGTAATGCCTCAGGGAACGGTGAGGAACGGATCGCGCTGTAGCACCGCCAAGGCGTTCTTACTTCCCGCCAGAAACAGGAGTAATTTACATATCGTCACCTCGGCTTTCGTCACCAAGGTAATAATCAAATACGAAAATACAGAAAGACGATGGATAATTATAGATAGTGGTGTTCGATCAGGTACTTTTCGACAGTAGGAAGAGAGCCAGAGCGGTGCAAGTGGATCATCACGGCATGAATCACGTGATACTAGCCGAAAACGAGATCATCCTGTCCGCCGGAGCCATTAACACACCTCAACTGCTGATGCTGTCGGGTATCGGACCCCGTCGTGACCTGGATCGCCTAAAAGTAAAATTGTCTTTTCGATATTATCGCCGGGTTGAAAAGGAAATTTCCTGAAAGTAACCCCTAATCTTGGGTTTTCTTCCGAAAATAACGATCTACTCCCGCCATTGCAGATTCCCGTTTTGGCCGATCTGCCGGTGGGATACAACTTACAGGACCACATCGGAGCATCGGGCATCCACTTTACCATCGACGCTCCGTATTCGGTAGTCAGAACCAGAATTATGGAAAAGGATCATCTCAACGAATTCCTCAAACAACGCAAAGGTGAGTCCCGGAAAAAAATCTTTCTTTTATCGGAACTCTTTACCGCTACAAACGACGAATTTCCTCTCCCTCTTCTTTTTCTTGGCAAACGCAATGGAGATTGGGACCGATCGTTCCTCCTCCTTTTACTTTTTGCCCTCCACGACGAAATTTGCTCCGTAAAATGGTATTTTTCAAACACTAAACTAGTAATTTGCACGCTCAATCCGCGTAACAGTCGAGGCTCCTTATTTCCGCAGGACTTAAGTCGAGAGCCGATCCGTACTTTAATTATACGTCTTAAGTCGAACTTTTTAAAGTTCGATTGCTGCGCGGAACAAAGAAGGAGCATTTGTTAAACCCGTTCTGTTATTCGCCGTCGAACATCGTCTGCGCTTTTATTTATTTTTTGGAAAAGTTAACTTTATCGCGAATCCCCACGTCGGGAGGTCCCAAGAATCAGCACGAATGAGGCTACTTTTCGTCCGCCGGCAAATCCAATTTCTGCACTAGACACCGGCAGCCAAAAAGGGATCGACGTCTCGCTTTTCGGACCGGTGCCAAAAATGGTTTTGCGTACGGAGTCATTTCTCACGCGCACGGAACTTGTAGCCGCTTGTCCGCGCTGCGCGTGGCTTTTCCCTTTTTGTTCGAATTGGTTTGAGAACGTAACGGTGATACTCGAAAACCATTTTCCGCAGGTATGCTGACCATGCTGGGCGGAGTCGAAGGTTTGGCATTCGTCGACACTCCTTACGCCAACAAATCGGCAGATTGGCCCGACATCGAAATCCACTTCGTGTCCAGCAGCCCTTCTTCCGACGGAGGTCTGACCATTAAGAGGGTGATGGGCCTTAACGAAAAGGTAGGTACGCGCCGTCTCGCTCCCCACGGTGCTTCGCTCGGTCGTTTTAAATAACGTAAATACATTTTACATTCGAAAATGAAGACAGGAAAATAAAAGTGAAATCTCCGTCTTTCCCTTAGCTAATAACGTATTTGTCGCCGGTTAGGATAGCTTAGCCCTAATTTTCCCACCGTTTCGGCCGTTCGAACGTTCGAAAACGAATAAAATCTGCCCGTGGCGAAAGTCAGTTTACGTTGTCTTCCCGCTTATTCCCGCCGTTCACACTTCGGAGTGGATGCCGGATGAAGGCCAAAGTTAGCCGAAGCCTTCTTTGGTTTCCAGGAATCGTTCGATTTATACAGATGATTTATCGTCATCGGAAAAGTTCTCGTCCGTGACCCTTATAAACAGGAAATGTCGACCCGGATTAAAAATTACAGCGCGATTAAGATGGCGACGTTTTGACGACTTTACGTCGAGAAAGCCTTCGTTCCGTCAGCAGTTTTTATATGTTTATATATTTTTATAATTATTTTCATTAATTTATAACGCTTATTAAATAATTAGTCTATTGGACGATAAAAACACTCGCATCAAGCGGTAGCGCGAAACTATATGTAGTGTAACCGCCGATTTTCGTCATTTTGTCGACACGCTCGCCCCGGCCATAGTTTTAAGGCGGTTCGAGAAACGTTTATAGGTTTTTTAGATTTACGTCTCCAGCGATATCGCCAACTTCTACGCGGCTAGATGGTCGATGCTGACTGGGCCACGGAAATCTGTCGAAAACCACGGCATCGACCAGTTTGCGCCGAGCTCGATAGCGAAAAAAGGAAGGCGTACGAGCGTAAAAGTCTTTAAGGAGTTAGCGGGTGCCTGGGAAAAAACAAAGTAGATCCTGCCGGCGCTCTAGGCAAAGAGGTCTTTTCAACAAAGTTCTCTTCGCAGGTGTGGAAGAAGTTTTACTTGCCTTATTTGTACAGAGAGAGTTTTTCGGCTTTTCCCATTCTGCTACGACCCAAGAGCAGAGGATTTGTTAAATTGAAATCGACCAATCCTTACGATCCTCCCGTCATCGATCCTAAATATCTGTCTCATCCGGACGATCTCAAAGTCATCATCGAAGGTAAAGTAACTTCTTTCTTTAATTGATTTCGTGTTCGTCGTCGGCCGAAACGCAAAGTTTAGCTGGTCTCCATCCTCCCTTTCCGCTTTCCACTATCGGAAAGACAGAGGAGAGAATGGGGAAAGCGATTTTTCGTTCATATAACGAAATGAAAAACTTTTTTCAGCTTTAATGATTACTGAAACAAGATAAACTTTAAGAGGTAACAAAATTTAGAGAATAATTATAAAAACACATTAATATAGGAACTTTACTTTAAACAAAGAATGAAGCTTCGAACAGCGATGAAAGTTCTTACTGGTGCGATCCCTACAAGCGTCTAGCCCCCGACAAAACATTAGTTTTAAATTATGACACCACGGCGCCAGTGGTGTGAACTGGATTTGTGTCGGTTTCGATTTCGGTTGGCGGTGACAAAATATTTTGCTAATATACAGTGGGTTGTCCGTCGTATAAAATGGAATGCGGCTAGTTTAATTTGAAATATAATCATAAGCAAAGCTTAAACAGATATATTAAAGCCGGCAACGATAAACATATAAAATTATTTAAATGTAATTTGTGTTCGGGTAAATAGCACAAATATAAAATATTATCACACTTCGGCGAGATACGATATTACATATTTATATAAAAACTATTTTCCGGGAAGCTAATGAATAATGTTAAATGTATATTTGAATTGTAAACTTGTGTAATTTATATTTGGAATTTGATGGTATTAAAATTATCTGTACCGTACAGTATTTATTATTCGAATTTTACTATTCGGATCCGGCGAAAAGACTGACGTTGAGTATGAAAAAACTCGTTCGTTGATAAGTAGAGTAATACTCCGAGTTACGTAATACGCGACTTAGGTAAAGGTCTACTGTCCGCATTACTTACGTAACTCGGGGTATAATTAAAAATTTAACTTATTTTCATTTTTAACTAATACAAATTACAATTAAAACATTCGTAATTTGTAACAATGACCTTAATCTGACACAAATCTAGTTCCCGCCATTGGCGCTGTTGGCCTTAGCGGCATAGTTTAGAACTAATGTTGGCTCGTGCTAGACTCTTGTATGAGCATCTGCCATCAATAACTTAGTAGTGTCGACTTACTTCCGTTTTCTTCTTCGTTTACATGTTAATTAAACATGTTACCTCTATTATAAAAAGTGTTACGGAGCTTTCCGTTCTGGCATTGTAATACGAGGAAGCTCGCTATAGTAATTGTTAAATGCACGATTCTTTACAGTTAACGCACGCTATAAAAAATTAACACAGCTAGCGGAAAAGTCGTTCTGCCATCTAGTGAGAGAAAATAAAATAAATTCATACATTGCCTGACATTAAGCGGAAAGTGTTGACGTCATTAGAGAATGTGCCGAATGGTTTAACTGAAGCAACGTCACGAGTGACGTTCCTCTTAAGTCGTTTCTTCCCATAAACAGACTAGAGAAATTAAAAAAATATTTTTAAAAAACCGCTTTTTATTCGCATAAATGCGCTAAACAATAAACAATACAGTACTTCTTTTGTTTCATCTTTCAGTGTTCTTCGTATTACGGGACCAAACATAAAGGCGTGGAGCGTTGATGGGAAACCAATTTTGCAGGGAGGTTTCTTTATTGGGGGATTGATGTTATTAAATTTTGGTGGTTAAAAGTCGAAGGGTGGGGAGCTAATGGGAGTCGTGTTTGTCTCTGGTAGGTTGGGACTTAATGACGATTTTACTGGTTATTAGCATTTACAATTTTTATTTTATAAAATTCGTCCCTACCCTCAAAATTAAGCTTTTTGCCATATTATAACAGTAAAAAATATATAAAGTTTTTAAAATAAAATATGATAACAGATGACGCCACCAAAATTTTAAATATCGGGAAAGTTGAGCAAATCGTTGCTGGTTTGTTTTATGTAGACAGTCGGGCTAAAAAGGGACAAAGGTTTGGCTTTTGCAAGATTTACAGTGCAATTCACAATTTATGGAGATACGTGTAGTGAGTATCATCTGTTATGAGATTTACTTTAGTTCTAATTTTT